TCGCCGCGCCTCAAAAAATCAAAACCTTCTTCGCTCGGAAACCTTGAAGCATGCGCCGCGCGCCACCTTGATAAGCGCCCGGTCCTTCACCCAAACTGATGGGCAACAGGGCGACCGCGCGCCGCGCGCCCGAGAGCGCCGCCCGCGCAGTGGGAGGACGCTTCCACCACCCGTTCACACTCTGGACTTTCGCCTTCCGCCCGCGGAGAAGACGAAAGAGTGCGTCGATCACCTGTTTGGTAGCGGCTGTCCGACATTCCTGATCACCGTCGCAACGGTTATGCCTGCGCTGAAAAACGATCTGGCTCGACGCCCAGCTCCCGCGCAACACCTCTGCTGCATCTGTCGTGAGTTTCTGAACTTTGGGCCTCGAGTATTAATCGGGCAAGTTCCCCCCACTGAAATTCTCAACATCTGCTTTTTCACTTGCCGATGCTCTGGGCCATCGCGGAGGTCGCGGCGAGCGAGCAAATTTTGGCGCGCGAGCAACTCCACATTGCGACCGAGAGATGCCCAAGAATCACTCACGTCCATCGCGTCAGCAACCCGAAAAAAGCTCCATTACCAGATGGTGCACCTCGAGCAAAGGAATTACACATCGATGCAATGAGCGCACGGTGCATTTCACAAATATAAATAGCGTGCCTGGCTGATGCTTTAGAGACTGCGTAGCTGCGTGGGCTGCAAGGCGTCTGAGAGACGATGCGTCGCCCCCCATCATCGCAATCATCGCCCGCGTGGAATCTCGCGGCCGCGTGCCAGGGTGCTGGACCAAGGCCCGAAAGGAAGCTGCGTCACTCAATGTTGTCCAGAGGGTTTCGGCCGTGGTCCGCCTGACGAACTGCAGCTCGCAAACCCATGGGTGGGCTGACTTCGAGGAGTTCGTCTCGACCCGCGCAGCGATAGTCGCGGCATGCGCGGTGGCCGCCGTCGACAATTGTGAATCTCCAGGGGCGCCGGCGTCGCAAAGCACTCGCTGCCGAGTCTCGCCCCGCTTGGCCCTTCGGGGGGGCGGCCGTCGAAAAGCGCAAAAAACTCCCCTGCCCTCCGCCCCCCTCCTTCCCTCCTCCCCTCCGAGTCCCTCCAAGAGGTTTCTTCCTTCTCGTCCTTCCCTCTCCCGCGCCCTTCATTCGCCGTCTTTCTTGCGCCCCCCCTTCTCCCTCGAGGGGCCGCCAAAGGGGGGCGGTCGGGGGCGGAGGGCGAGCGGGCGACACGGGTGGACCTCCATTGGGCTCGCCCAACCGAAGGCTCGTCGAGAACATGTTCCCTGGACGAGCTGCAGCGAGAAGGTGTCGACGTAATTCCAGACAGTCGGGCCCGATGCGAAGTGCATCGAATATGGAGTCAGCCCATACTTTTCTTGCGGTGTCGAATCCTGGGCGGATTTTCGAGCTGACAAAAGGTGACATCGCTGATGGGTCCAAAAGGATGACAGCTCCACTCGATGACCTTAGGATGGCTTCAGATTGAGGGCGTGGTCCAGAATTCGAATTCAAAAATGAAAACGTAGAACCGGAATCCCCGAACCTAGAACTCATATCTCAAAACTTAGAACCTGAATTCCCGAATCTAGAACTCTGAATTTACAGCCATGAAGCTGGCCAATTCCCAAACTCGGAACTTAGACTTTAAATTCCCATGGACACTTCGCACTTCGGAAATGTCTATGGACATTCATATTCTAAATTCTACGGCGCGCCCACAATTTCAAGCCACCCCCAAGGACCGGCGCCGATGCCTCTGGCTTGGACTCCTCCTGGGCCTCCGCAACAACTCGTCGTTTGCCTCGGGCCCGGCGCGTAGCACGAGCAATTGCAGCACGATCTGGAACATGGGCGGCGGCGGGGGCAGGGGTATGGCCTGGCAGTGGGCGGGAAACGGGGCCGAAGGGCGGAAGGCCAGAAGGCCTTTCCGCTCCCCTTCCAGAAAGAAAAAACGAAAGAAGAGAGAAGGACAGGCAGCGGACAGCTGCCCCTTTCCTCAGAGGAGGGGCGCTATCTGTCCGCTGTCCACCCCTCCCTCCCCACATCTCCATCTCCCCACCTCGAGGGGAGAACGTCGTCCATGACGACCCCGGGCCCGGGCCCCGGCCCCCGCCGCCCCCCCTCGAAGCCAAAATGGCTGGAGGGGCGTAGGTGCAGCGGCGGCAGCTCGGCCGTGCAGAGCACCAGTCCCCTCACCTCCTCCCTCCTCTCCTTTTCGCCTCCCTCTCTCTCTCCCTCGCCCTCCCTCCTCTGTCCTCCACCACCCTCCGCCCTCCACCCTCATCCTTCCTCGTCCTTTCCGTTTCCTTTTTTCCCTTGCTCCCTTCCCCTCCTATCCTCATCCCCCCTCTCTGAGACCCTCTCCCCACCTTTTTGGTTTCTCTCAAAGGGGGCCCCGAGAAGGCCGCAAGGGCCCCCAGAAGGCGCCAGGGAGCTTTAAACACTGTTAAGTTACCCTTGAGAGTTCCAATATGGAGTGCAAAAAACAAGCCCGAGATGACCACGATAATGTCCTGACAAGGCCAGAAGACTCCAAGAATGAAAGCGACGAGGAGTAACTAGTACGCTCGAAACTGTTGCACCGCGAACTACTGACTTCTGTCAGCAGGAACCGATAGTTGCCTACCACAAGTCTTGGATTCTAGATTCGGAAGTCACAGCCGTTGGTATGATAATTTTCCTCACGAGCTAAGGCGGATTCAAATGATAAGGTTTGCAAATCGTGGCCCGAGGCATGTGCGCGGCACAGAGGGCGGCAGGGGAAGCACAAAGGTAAGAAACTACACAGAGAAATGTGGGGAGAGATCATGGCCCTCCCCCCCCTCTTGGCCGCCCTCGAAAGGAGGAGGGACTCCGATCCCGACCGCTCTTCCCCAGGCGGGGTGGCGTCCGCCCCGACCGCCCCTCCTGGGCCGCCTCGCGGGCTGCGGCCGGGGCCCACAAAGTGGTCAGCAGGGCCAGCGCCGGAGGCGGGTGGCCGGCCATCGCGGCCTGGACGGGGTGGGATGGAGGGGAGAGGAAGGGCCGGCGGGACGTACAGGTGGGGTTGTGGCAGTGGGGCTAGCGAAAAAACGCTCCAAACGGCCGTCTACGACCCCCGGAAAGAGGAAGGTCGTTTCTTGTCGTTTCCCGCAGCGGTCGTCACCCGGGGGGGGGCCTAAGGCCCCGGGTGACGGCAACGGCAACGCGAGCACCAGCATGCGCGGGGGCGGTCCTGCCCGCATCCAGGACTAAATTGAACCAGCTGGAACTGATCCCAACAAGCTGGTACTTCTTCCAACCAACTCGAAAAGACACACATGTACCCATTTCAACCGACCAAGTCACCCCACCGTATGATTATAATTGCGAAGCGATGTCGTAATATCCCTAAACCGAATACTGTGCGTATGTGCGCACACGTACCGTAGAAACTGATAGAAACTAACCTGATTGCCCGGGTTGGAATGCGTGCCAGGTTTGTCCAGGGATGTTGAAATGAGGGCTGTAAGGTTGAAAAGGAATTAAGGGCTTAAGGTCTCAAGGGCTCAATGGCTTATGGGTTGAAGAGCTTTGAGGGTTAAAATGTTTAAAAGTTTAAGGTACCAAGGGCTTTCAGACATAATGGTATCTTCAACGGTGTAAGTGATTAAGGGCGTAATGGGTTAAGGGCTCAAGGGCCCAAGGGCTTCAGGGCTTAGAAGGGCGACGGGTTTGGGTTGAAGGCGCTTCAGGGTTTCAGGGCTTAGAGCACTGAAGGGTTTCAGGGCTGAGCTGTTAGAGGACTCCAGGTTTTAAGGGCTCAAAGCGTTAAATGTTTCAGGGTTTGAAAGTTCAGGGAGTCAGGGGCTCACGGGTTCAAGAGCTGATTGTTGAAGGGCTAAATGCGCTAGGGGCTTAAAGGCTTAACAGACGAAGGGTTTCAGGCCTTACGGGTTAAAGGGCTGAGGGTTCAGGGGCCTCAGCAGGGTCCAGGGCTTAAGTGATTAAGGGCTCACGGGCTTCAGATGCTTCAATGTTTTCGGGCGCAAGGGCTCAGGGATGCAAGGGCCTAAAGGCTCAAGGGCTTAAGGCTTTAACAGTGAATGCCTAAAGGGCATAAGTGCTTAAGGGGCTGGTGGGGCTTAAGGGCTCGCGGGCATAAGGGCCCACGGGCTTAAAGGGCTTGAGGAGCTCAAGGGTTTAAGGGCATGGGGGGGGGGGGGGGGGTAGCTAGCGAGCGACGGAGCAAGGAATAACACTTGGAGGGGAAGGAAGAGGAGGAGGAGGAGAGGGGCGGAGGGGAGAGGAGCGGGGAGGAGGAGGAGGAACGGGAGAGGAGGAGGAGGAGGAGGAGGAGGGGAAGAGGAGGAGGAGGAGGAGGAGAAGGAGGAGGAGGAGGAGGAGGAGGAGGAGGAGGAAGGGGGAAACAAGGAGTAGGAGGAGGAGGAGGAAGAGGAGGAGGAGGAGGAACAGGAGAAGGGGAGGAGGAGGAGGAGAAAGATATGGAGGAGGGGACAGGAGAAGGTTGAGGAGGGAGGAACGGGGGAGGAGAGGAGGAGGAAGAGGAGGAGGAGGAGGAAGACGAGGAGGAGGAGGAGAAGACGAGGAGGAGGAGGAGGAGGAACAGGAGAAGAGAGGAGGAGGAGGAGGAGGAGGAGAGGAGAAGGAGGATGGGCAGGATAACGCTGAGGAGGAGGAACGGGGGGAGGAGGAGGAGAAGGAAGAGGAGGAGGAGGAGGACGGAGGAGGAGGGGAGGAGGAGGAGGAGGAGGAGGAGGAGGAGGAGGAGGAGGAGCGGGGGGGGGAGGAGGAAGGGGGAGGAAAAGAGTTGAAGGAGGAGGAGGAGGAGGAGGAGGAGGAGGAGGACAAGAGAAGGAGGAGGAGGAAGAGGAGGAGGAGGAGGAGGAAGAGGAGGAGGAGGAGGGGGGGAGGAGGAGCGAGAGGAACGGGGGAGGCGGAGGAGGAGGAGGAGGTGGAGGCTATTTTTGGCTATTTTTATGTTCGGCCCCCTGGCGCCCTGCCGGCGGGCTAAACCAGGTGCCGCCAGCGCAGCAGTCAGGCCGCGCCGTCGCCGTCGCCGAAGGGCGACTCCCTGCACGCCGCCACGCGCGCCCGCGCCCAGCGAGCAGCGGCGGCGGGCGAGGCGAAGCCGTGGAGCTCGGCCGCCTGCCAGGCGTCAGCCGTGGCGGGCCGCAGCCCCCAGCGCGGCGGCCGCCCTGCTCCAGCGGGAGCTCCAGCGCCGTCCTCAGCGCCTGCGTCGCCGTGGAGCACCGCCGCCAGCCGCGCCCGCTCCTCCTCCGTGGGCGGCTGCGGAGCCAAGAGCCGAGCCCTGCTCTTCGGCTCCTGGAGGCGCATCAAGAGCCGCCGCGCCTCCGCCGCCCTCTCGCCCGGGGCGGGCCGCCCTTTGCAGCTGCCCAGCAGGCCTGCCCCAGCTGGAGGGGGCCGCTTCCAGAAGCGGCAGCCGCACTTCAGGCACCAGGCCATGGCCCCATCGCCGTTCACGAGGCGCGAGACGACGATGCAGTGCCCGCGCACCGCCCGCGCCACTCCAGCTCCAGCTACCGCAGCCTTCAGCTCGGGAGCGGCCACAGCTGCATCCGCAAGCTCGTCGGCAGCGGCCCCAGCGGCAGCGGCGGGCGCCTGGCCGAGCTCCACGCCAGCAGCGGCCCCAGCAGCAGCGCCAGGCGCCTGGCCGAGCTCGGGGTCGGCCTCGAGCGCCAGCGCCGCCACCTCCGCGTCGGCCAGCTCCGCCGCGTCCAGCGCCGCCTGCGGGATGTCGTAGACGAGGTCGGCCGTGCCCACCACCCCGTCCGAGTCCAGCTGATCGCGGTCCACCATGGTGGCGGCCAGCTCGCCGACCCAGCGCCCGAGCTCCTCCACGCGCCAGGCGCATGCCTGGAGGAACCAGACCCGCTCCTCGTCGATCGGCCACAAGGCGGCGCCTCGCTTGGCCCACAGGTCGGCTGCCCTGTTGCCCCTGATCAGGAGCTCATCCTCCCAGGAGGCCGCTGCAGCGAGCGCCTTGTGCGCCTTGACCTTGCGCACCGTGGCCGACGGGCCTGGCCCTGCCCACCACTCCTGCCACAGGTGGCGGCGCGCCTGCAGCGGCGCGAGGGCCTTGCCCTGCGAGAGCGCCAAGCCGACCGTGCCCGCGCAGTCGCAGAAGACCTCGAGGCCCGAGCCGTCGGCCGACGGCAGCCAGCACTGGGCCAGCATGTGGAACGCGTAGTCCTCGCCGTCCCTGGCCTCCTGCTCGGGCCCGTACGCCCGCGGGACGATGCCGTGCATCCCGCCGATGACCTCCCCGCTGAAGCCGATCGGCACCACCGCCCAGCCTGCGCGGCGGGCCCCGCGCAGCGCAGGAAACCTAGCGCTGCCGTCCACGAAGACCCTGCCCGCGAACCTCGAGCCAGGCTGCGCGCCGAACCAGCGCGGGGCCGCGAGCGCGGCGTCGGCCGCCGCGGGGAAGGCTAGGGCGGGGTCGGGGCACAGCGCACGCGCGAAGAGCTCCGCCGCGGCGTCCCCGCGCTGCGTCACCAGCCGCGCCCCCTCCAGCAGCGCAGGCGAGCACGCGCCCCGCCGCAGGGGCAGCCAGGCGTCGCACTCGAAGGCCCTGTGCCACAGCGTGCCTCGGCCACCGCAGAGGCGGCAGAGGCCGTCGCGCGCCTTGCCATCCTTCCAGAGGCGCTCCTGCGGCCAGTGGGAGCCGCCGAGGACCGCCACGAGCGCTCGCCTGTGGCGGGCCTGCCAGTGCGGCGGCGGCGGCGCGGGCACCAGGCGGCCAGCGCCATCGGCGGCCTCGGTGTCGGCCTGCCCCTCGGGGCGGCGGCGCGCGTGGAGGAGGCGTTCCAGCCCCTTCCAGTGCACAGGCCATGCCCAGGCGCCAGGCCCGCGCAGCCGCTTCAGCGCGAGCACGTCCGAGGCCAGCATCGCCGACGCGCGCGCCACCTGCACCAGCATGCCAGGCGAGTAGAACTCCAGCGAGACGACGCGCGCCTGCCAGTCGATGACGGCATTGTAGGCCACCATCTCGCAGCCGACCCGCCGCAACGCCATCACACAAGCCTGCGCAGGGTCGCGGCACTGCCCCCAGGGGCTGCGAAGGTCGAGCAGGCCTTGCGCCCCGAGCCAACACTCTTGCACCACAGCGGCGCTGGGCAGGCCCGCATCCAGCGTCATGCCCCAGGAGCGCGCCACCTCCGCCGCATGCACCACGAAGGGGTCGCGGTCGGCAGCGCCGTGCAGCGCCCGCAGCCGCAGGCCGACGCTGGCGCCCATGGGCAGCCTGTCCTCCGCGCACATGGCGGCGACCCGCAGGCCGTGCAGCCTCCCGCAGGCGAGGCCCGCCACCGCGGAGCCCCAGACGGCGGCGGCCGCGGGGCTGCCCCCCTGGATGTGGCCCACCTGCGCACCAGCACTGCGCAGCAGGCGCGCCCGCGCGCTGACCGCCGCCGCGCGGCCGAGCCGAGCGCCCTGCTCGCGCGCGCGCCTCCAGCGCCCATCGGCGGCGTCGCCGCCAAGGCAGCGGGCGCCAGTCCAGCGGGGCAGCGGCCCGTGCGCCCAGCAGCCGTCCAGCGCGTCGCCGAGGTCCTCGCTGTTCGCTAGGTAGCCCGTCTTCGCATCCGAGATGACCAGCCCCTTGGCGACCAGGCCCTCTGCGAGGGCAGCCGTGGCCCTGGGGAGCTGCTGCGCCACCTGAGCCCTGCCGCCGACCGCCTGCAGCAGCACGTCGTCGACGACGTTCTGCAGGCGCACCGCTGGGTTCTCGCGCACAATCTTCACGAAGAGGGTGTGCACCAGCAACTTGGCCAGCCCGACCGCACCACTGCAGCCCGCCACAATGGCGCCGTTCGCCTCGAACGACTTGGAGACCGAGCCGCACCAGGACACGCGGCGCTGCGTGCGGTACGACACGCAGAAGCACTGCAGCAGCGCGAGCGGGAACTCCGTGGCGACCGCCTGCACGCGCAGCTCCTCATGGCTGGCGTGCTCGTAGAACCGCGCCAGGTCGGCGACGCCCGTGGCCGCCGAGAGGCCCCTGCTGCGAGCAAAGGCCGCCAGGAGGTTGTGCACCACCCCCGCGCGCTCGCACGGGCACTCCGACGTGCCCCAGAAGGCAGGGTTCTTCAACGAGACCTCCCAGCGGGCCACCAGCGGCTGCCGCATCCTGCTCCAGACCCTCAGCCAGATGGCCGTGAGGCCGACCGGCCGCTGGCCGCCAGCAGCCTTGGGGATGAACACCACGATCAGCTGCCACAGCGCCTCCCGCGAAAGCTTCCGCCCCCAGGCCATGAGGAGCTCCAGGCAGCGCTGCCTGTAGGACCGCGGGAGGCGCAGCAGCTGCTTCGGGTGGAGCCTATCCCACCCGAGGCCGCACCCCTCGCGGTAGGTGCCCAAGACCCGCTCGAGGTCCTCGAGCTCCAGCGGCGGCAGCACCGACTCATGGATGTCCCAATCCTCGGGCGCCGCCTCGCCTGCGCGCGACTGCTTGATCCAGAGCGGCTGCCGCGCCTCCAGCAGCGCAGCCACTGCGGCCTCGCCCGCCACGGGCATGCGCGGGTCGTCGTCACCATCCGCGCCCGCGAGCACCACAGTGGGCACCACCGCGACCTGCTTGGTGAAGCGGTAGGCCGCCGAGCCGCCCTTCTCGGTGGCCGCGGCCTGGGCCCAGGCGCGCCACTCCGCGGCCTTCTGCTGCTTGTCCAGCCCCCAGCGCTGCCTCGCCTCCCCCTGGACGAATTGCACCGTCAGCTGGCACGATGAAGAGCTGAGCAAGCCCACCACGCGGGCCACCGACAGCCCAGCCAGCGGGCCATCCTCAGGCCACTCGAGCTCGAACGCCATCAGCACCTCGCGCTGCTTGCGCAGCGGCGCCCAGCAGCGACCTCCTGGCGCCGCCTCCTGCAGCGCGCGCCAGCGGGCGCATGCCGCCGCGAAGGACATCCAGCGTCTGCAGGCAGCGCCGACGCTCCTCTTGAGGTCCTGCTTCCAGGCCACCTCCATCTCGACCCTCTGCGCGCGCAGCCCGCCAGCGCGCCCTTTCCAGCGGCTGGGCGGCACGATCTCGTGGAGGTCGATCAGGTAGGCCCCCACCGCCCCGAACCACTCCTGGCATCCCACCATGAGCGACTGCCCGCCGCCAGGGCTCCAGGCCGAGAAGGCACGATCGAGCTGCGCTGGCCGCACTGGCGGCGGCAGCGGCAATGGGAAGGCGGCAGGGAAGAACGGCCGCTGCACCTTCGCCGCTGGCCTCACGCCGCGAAGCACCACCTTGAACGGCACGTGGTCCTTCGTCGGCGCCCTCAGCAGCACCTCGGCCGCATCCACAAAGCCCGCGAGGACCTTGCTGACGACCGCGAAGTCGAAGACCTTCGTGCCGCAGGTCGGCTCCTCTGGGGCGACGAGCACACCACCAGCGCTGCGCGCCCACTCACGGACGTCCTCGGGCTCCATGTTCCAGTCGCCCATCACGATCCACGGCGACTCCAGCTGCCCCACGAACTCGTGCAGCGCCGCCAGGAGCACGATGTTCTCCTTCGCCCTGCCTACCTTCGTGATGAAGTAAGCCGAGATGAAGCGGCACGGCCCCCTGAACCCCAGGTTCACCTCGCACACCTGGAACCGATGGGCAGGGAGCCCAGGCGCGGCGGCGGCCGCCGACGGCCGCAGAGTGGCCACTGCCACTCCTCCCGAGCTCTCCAGCGGCCCTGGGCCCGTCGGCAGCGCTGCCTGGCCGTGCCAGCTGAAGCCGCGCGCCTGCATCCAGCCCGCAGCGCGGGCCACCGCCTGCTTGCCCTTGAGGCGGTGCTCCTGGAGGCAGAGCACCGCAGGCAGCCGCCCCACATCACCGTGCAGCCACTCGACCAGCGCCTGCGCCGAGCCCCGTGGCGTTGGCCGTCACCAGCTCCACCACGTCCGCCGCCAGCGGGCGGCTACCCAGAGGCGGGGCCTGCCACCCGCTGGCGCTTGGCCAGCGCTGCGCGCCAGGCAGCGCGCTGCTGCTCGCCCTCCATGCCCAGCTCGTCGAACACGGCGTCAAGCCCGACGAGCTCGGGGCCGAGGTCAAGGTCGCCGACGCGCTTGCGGTCCCCAGGAGGACCAGCAGCGCCATCATCACTGCCATCAGCCGCGGGAGCGGCCTCCTGCGCCGTGGCGGCCCGCTCAGCTGCGGCTGCAGTCGCGCGGGCCCGCTCGGCCGCCGCTGCCTCGCGAGCACGGGCGTCGGCGGCGGCGAGCTTCTCCACGAGGCTGCGGGCCTCGGCGGCCATCGCGAGCAGGGCGCCGCCCTCCTCCCCGAGCAGGAGAACCCGCTCCCGCTCCGCCTCGAGGCCCTTGAGCAGCGTCTTGCCCAGGCAGCCCGCGGCCTCCTCAGGCTCGCCCTCCTCCATGGGCGACGGCCCCGTGTGCTGCGCCAGGTCGGCGCGCTTCCTGGCACGCACAGCCTCGGCCACCTCCTCCAGCTGGTCGCGCCGCTTCTGGAGGACATCAGCCTGCTCCGCCACGCGGACAGCGACGGCCGCCTGCTCCTCCTTGACGGCCGCCAGCGCGATCTCCGCGCGACCGACCTGGCCCTTGATCTTCGCCTCCCTGGCCAGGAGGGCCTGGAGCGACAGCTCGGCCAAGGGCTTCGCTGGCGGCGGCGCGTCCACCACAGGCACCAAGGCCCCGAAGTCCTGGACCAGGGCCGCCGACCAGCCTTCCCTGGGGCCAAAGTGGCGGAGGAGGGCCTGGCGAACCTCCTCGTCCTTGCCGCCGCTGCCCCTGGGCTGCTCCTCGGCCGCCTGCTTGGCCGCGCCCCGCGCCCACGGCGCCGGCGTGGCCGCAGCGGCGGCAGGGCCAGGCACATCCGAGGCAAAGCGCACGCGCTTCGCCTCGGCCTTCGCCTTCCCTTTGGCCTTGGCCTGCGCCTTGGCCTTGTCGATGGCCTCGCCGATCGTGCCAGCGCCGCGCGGCGGCCGCGCCGCCTTGCAGAGCCTGCACTCCATGCGCCAGGCCATGTTGCTGTAGCCAGCAGCGCACGCGCGACACGTCCAGGGGTCGCCACCCTGGCTGGCTCCGCGCGTGCCACCAGCAACGCCATTCGCCATCGGCCCGCGGGGGCACGCCGCTCCGAAGTTTGCTCCGGCAAGAGCGAGCACCAAGCTCGCCCCGAGACGGCTAGGAGGAAGAGGAGGAAGAGGAGGAGGAGGAGGAGGAGGAGGAGGAGGAGGAGAAGGAGAAGGGGGAAGAGGAGGAGGAGGAGGAGGAGCGACGGGAGGGGGAGGAGGAGTGCAGGAGGAGGAGGAGGAGGAGGAGAGAGAGGAGGAGAGAGGAGGAGGAGGAGGAGGAGGAGGAGGAGAGGAGGGGGGGAGGAGGATGAGCGAGAAGAAACGGGGAGGAGGAGGAGGAGGAGGAGGAGGAGGAGGAGGAGGAGGAGGCAGGAGAGGTAAGAGGAGAGGAGGAGCGGGGGGAGGAGGAGGAAGTGAGGTAAAAGGAGTAGAAGGAGGAGGAGGAGGAGGAGGGGAGGAGGAGTAGGAGGAGGAGGAGAGGAGGAGAGGAGGAGGCGGGGGAGGTCAGGAGCGAGAGAAAGGAGGGAGGGAGGAGGAGGAGGAGGAGGAGGAGGAGGAGGAGGAGGAGGAGGAGGAGGGGAGGAGGGGGAGGAGGAGGAGGGAGGAGGAGGAGGAGGAGGAGGAGGAGGAGGAGGAGGAGGAGCAGGAGGAGGAGAGGAGGAAGGAAGAGGAAGGAGAGGAAAGGGGGAGGGGGAGGTGGAGGGGGGAGGAGGAGGAGCAGGAGGAGGAGCAGGAGGAGGAGGAGGAGGAGGAAGAGGAGGAGGAGGAGGAGGAGGAGGAGGAGGAGGAGGAGGAGGAGGACGGGGAGGGGGAGGAGGAGGAGGAGGAGGAGGAGGAGGAGGAGGAGGAGGAGGAGGAGGAGGAGGAGGGGAGGAGGGGGAGGACGAGGAGGAGGAGGACAAGGATAATGACGAGGATGTGAATCAAATGAATCAGAAAATGGAGCAAGCTCCCTAGAATACCGCGAGCAGGGAGAAAAGACTCCCCGCGAAGCAGACGGCACCTGGCCAGCGCCAAGCGCAAGCAAGAGTGACGCCTCTAAGACGCCTTTGGGGCTTTTCATGGAGGTTGCTGGGAATTCATACAAAAGTGGTTGGAAGTACTACCAAAAAGGTTGGAATTAGTACTACAATCGTTGGGATTGGCTTTAGTTGGTTGTAAAATGTCCCATTTCCGGTCCTGCTCTCCCCCACTCACGTACGATTGTTACCATTACCCTCCTGGGGGGGGGCAGGTGAGGACTACGCGCTAGAGGATGAAAATAGTCTCAGGCAGGGCGAGATGGGGAGAGAAGGAACGAGGGACGGAGACACAACTGCGGACAGAGTCTGTCCAGACAGCGCCCGGGCTGGCGGGGCGCGCGCCTGACCCTTGTTGCCAGGGCGGGCATTACTCGAGGGTCCGAGCGACCCCCTCGGCGTGCGACCAGGAGAGACAGATAGAGAGGGAGAGAGGGAGGAAGAGGGAGAGGGAGGGAAAGGGAGGGAGGGAGAGCGGGAGTTTCCTGCCCGCGGGGGTGGGAGTGGGGGGGCGAATCTGGCACGCTCGGGGCGAGCGTCCGACAACACCAGGTAGCCTAAACGTGTTGACGGCATCCGCGCAGAGCCGATGTGTGTGTGTGTTTCGGGTTCGGCTGGAGGCGTCGTGCTGAGCAGACAAAGCGCGACGTTTACCTGGGATTGCTGTCCGACGTGCGAGGCTCATTGTCGCTATCTCGCCTGTACACTCGCAACGTTCTGCTTGGGGGGGAAGATGATGTGGTGGCAGGTTCGTGCTGAAATCGACAATGCATGGTGGAAATATCACACTCTTCTTGTAAGCGTCCGCGCTTCAGAACCGTGCTCTCGTCTAGGCCCCGGTCGTGGCTGCCGGTGAAGAAATCGTAACATACCTTTTTGCACTAGTTTTTGCCAGGGGTGTGAGGGGGCTGATGGAGCACATGTTGTCCAGCTCGTGACTCAAAATCGTACTCTGGCTGGCTCGATGGCAGGGTACTGCTCGGTGGTCGAAGCGCGACGCGCACTTCGTACTATTGGAGGTGCCCGCGTCGGAGATGCCCAGAGCCAGCTCAGGTGAGAACGGTGTGTCCACTGGCCTCCGTTTGCGTGTGAGACACCTAGCTTTCCCCCCCTCGTTCCATCTCGTTCCCCCTCCCTTCAGTGGTCCAAAATCCAATTAGAGTGTCATGGGGGAGTGGAGCTTGGGGGGAGCTCGTCAGCTGCCAAGACGCCCCGCCCCAAAAGCAACAGGAACGATGTCGAGCGCCGTGTCATGATTCGGACAAGCCTCGTGAAATGCAGTCCTGGAGGCGCAGTAGTTTATACAGGGGTCGGCGGATGTGGCGTAAGCCTATATAATCAAGTTAGAGTGTCCTGGGGAAGTGGAGCTTGGGGGGAGCTCGTCAACACACCTCTTGGGCTCTCGCAGCCTCCAAGTCCATCCTCCGTGGAGACGCCCAAAATGTGTTCCAAGATGGCTCCAAAGCACGCCGGAGAGGCCTCAAGACCACCCCAGGTGGCTCCAAGACGGCCCAAGACACCTCCAAAACTCCCCAAGAAGAACCCCGAGAAAGCTTCAGGGGCACAACAATTGATTTTCCGTAGGTATTCTGAATGTTCTCGCGCTCCCGCACGTACATGCAAGACGGCCCGAGAACCCCCCAGACAGGCCCGAAAGGCCCCCGAGAAGGCCCGGAGACGCCCCATGAGGGCCCTAAGACGGCCCAAGAGGCCCCCAAGACGGCCCGAAAGGCCCTCAAGAGGGCCCCAAGAGGGGCCCAGGAGAGGCCCAAGAAGGACAACTTGCAGGGAGCCCTCCCCCACAAGATGGCTCCCAGGATGCCCCCCCCCCCTCCCTCAAGCCCCAGTAGCCCGCACAAGGCTCCATGCCCCCCCAAGCAGCCCCGCAACAGACGCGGAGGAAAAGGAGGATGAATCAGCAGCAACTACAGGCAGGCAGCACGACGGGAATCGGCAAACAACGCATATAGCCGTACCTCACCTCATCTGGGGGTCGGCGGGATGGCGTAACCTACTGGGTAAACACGGAACGAGTAGACATGCGGGAAAGGGGGAGGAGAGGGATTGGAAGGGTGTAAGGGGTGTGTGACTGAGTCGAAGTGTAGATAAGGCTGGAGAGGGGCTGGAGACAGTGTGGAGGAGAGGGCCAGGGAGGGCTTAAGCCAACCAAATCAAAGAGCGAGTGTGAGGAGGGAAGGAAGGAGAGGGGGGACTGGATGGATAAAGAGCACTTGAGCGGGGAAGGAACAGAGGGTGTGTGTGTGTGGGGGGGGGGGGGCAAGCACAGAAACCGCCCCCTTCTCCTCTCCCGGCTGTTCCTCCTCCTCCTCCTCCTCCTGACGAGGTGCCAGGCGTGAAGGCCCCAATCGAAGCCGCCGGGATCCCGTCACGCCCCAGCTGGTGCAGGCCGTGGCCGAAGTGGACCCGGGCAGGCCGCCGGAGGAGCTGGAGAACGGGGCGCTGCCCGAATGCGACGCTGCGTTCGCGGAGGTCCCGGAGGTCCCTGCCTTCCACGCCCAGCCCCGAGCGGTTTGATCCAGGAGTGCAGCATTGCCGTCGATGGTATCTACATGTGTTTCGACGAGGACATCGCTGATGCTCGCGAAGCTTGTCGCGATGGAGAGCGTGCGGACGGAGGTCATGCACTCGACGACGATGAGGTGCAGATCATCTTGAAGAGCGTGCTGGAGTTGCGGCAGCGTGGGCGTGAGATGCGGCTGGTTCTAGCAGGATGGCGTGGTCGGCTGATGAATGTCCCGATGCGCCGTTGGGGGCGGGCGCAAGTCATGAAATGACGATCCTCGAGTTGAAGTGGGCGCTGACGCTCCGCGTCCTTCTTCGTGGTTGGCGGCGTACTGCGGGGAGCAGTGCCAGTTCGCGCAAGTGCCGATGAGCTTCGTGAGCACGATGGGTTCCGGGTCGTCGGTACCCGAATGGTTGCATTCGGGTGCCTTCAAGGGTTGGGCAGGCCCGCCGCGTCGGCAGCCCGCGTGCGGGCGAAGCGACGCGCCTGCGGCCGGGCGGCGTAACGGCCGCTGGGACGGCATGGACGTGCTGGGGCGCGGAGATAATCCCGTCGTCCGTGAGGTGCACCCCGCTCGGGCGTTGCATGGCCATGCGGTTTAGGGGCGTTAGATCCTGGGCCAAGTGGCGATGTTTCGTCTTAAGGGCGCATGCTGCCGGCCTCGGGAATGGCCAAAAGGATCCCAAAGGATCCTCCTCCTCCTCCTCAACATCTTGACTGATAAATATCTTGGGGCTCTAGAGCGGGGACGGGTTGCGGACTGGGAGGGGAAGCATCCAAACATCTTGCCCAGTGCAGTTCTGCGCCGAAAGTGGCGTCTGATGCCGATCTGCCAGCACGCGGCCAAAAGGTTTGGATGGGTGCAGCAGATGACCAGGGACGCTGCCGCGCACCGCCAAGTGATCGCCGCAATTTGGGGTGCACTACAGAATGGGCCCGAGAGCTTGGACGCCGATGGCAAGTTCACGGCTTCCGCGCCGCCGATCGCAAAGCAGATTGAATATGCTGTTTGGACCTTTGCTAATTTCAGTGGTGCCGAGGACTTCTTTGAGGCCTAGGAGAGATAGGAATGTTCTTGGAAGGCATTAGAGGAAGAGGAGGAGGGGGAGGAGGAGGAGGAGAAGGTTCGGGAGGTCTGGCGAAAGGTCGATCCTAAGTTACTGCGGACAGCCGTTCTACATGATGGAAAAGATCTTCCTATCCCGACTCAGAAGACCCGCCCAGGCTGTTAAAGAAGTCTGAGGGGCCTCAAAGGAACCTGGAAACCACGTGTGTACCCTAAATGATGAACATGGAAGCGTGTGCTCACAGGTCTTCGATACTCTGAGTGCTCTCTTCGCGTACCAGTCTCGTTCGAGGGGGAGAGTACGGGAAATTAAACCATCTCTTGTAGACGGTGGTCTCGAACGTTTGCCTGCGGTGCAGGGCATGTTTCTCGACGAAGGACAGCGCTCGACAACGCGTTCGAAATTCTTGGCTAAACAACAGATGCCGGC